CCCCAAAAAAACACGGAAACAAAAAACATACATTAATACTCTTATTATTAACATTACCATTGAAATTATTGACAAGAAGTTGTTTTTTTAAAACAAAACACGTCCAAAAAACACACACGCACATTGCGCCGTGGAAGGAATTCCTGGATTTTAAAAAGGGCACGGCAAACGAGCGCGCGTTGGGAAAAACAAAAAAAACGAAAAGGCAGACACGACCCGAAATTAAACGACCACGCGGCCCGCTGCCAAGCGGGAACACCGAACAGAGCCCCGGCACGCCAGATCAGCCCACCGCGGGTGCCCTCCTTGCGGGGACCCTCCGCGGGGCGTCGCCGTGAAATTTGCGCGGCCGGGGGGGGGGAAGATGCGAGGTGCGAACGGGGGCCCGCCGCCAACAAACGCGGGCGCACAACTGTGAAGAGTCGGTCTCCTGTGCCGCGGCCTTCGCGGCTCCTCCGCTCCTTCGGCGCCGCCCGCAAGACGACGGCCCCCGAGTGTTGCAACGGCGGCACTCCTGCGGAGAGTGGGCGGGGAGCAGGAAAGGGCAGATAAGGCGCCCACTCGAAGCACACGGGTGTCAATGAGAGGCCCGATGAATTTTCATGTTGCGCGGTCGGTTGGGCAAAAAAGCAAAACGAAACTAAAGCTCGTGTGAGCGGGGCGAAAATGAGAGGCGCGACAGCGGACGCCGGCGGAGTACCGAAATGATCCCAAGCAGTAGCCGTGCCGCGTCCACCAGCAGGGCGCGGGGGCCGTGCTTCGGAATATATGTTTCGAAGTAGCCGGCTGCCTAGCGCGCCTCTTGGGCGGCGGTCGCTTGTATGCTGGGGAACGCCGCATTTTGTTTGAATTATAGAATCTGATAATTTCGCCTCTGAATGAATAACGTGCGCCGTCGGCCCCTTTCGTTCTAGTTCAGCGGTCCGGACGCTTCAATTGATGTCGCGGGTTCAACTCATATTTGGCTTCAACTCTTTCCGGCTGATTTTCAGGGGGTTGAAAAAAGAGGGGCGCAGACGCGGCGCCGCCCGCTTTGCCACCACCTCGCGCTGCTCCTGCTGCTTCATCGCCTTTGCGCCGAGAGTCCCGCAAGGCCTCTCAACAAGGCCGCCTCACCTTTCCCCCGCTGCGTTGCTTCAGCCCATCCTTCTTTCTGGACCTGCGCGCGCGGCGGCGGGGCGCTCTCTCTCTCTTTCTGGGCGGGGGCGCGGCACGGGCTCAATTACTCGCAAAGAGGGCAGCCAAGAGCCGGCAACTAGACCCGTTGACTCGTTGTCGGCGGCGGTGTCGGGCTTTGGGCGGCGCCGTGTTCAGGAGGCCCGGAACAAATGCAGTTGATCTTCCGCCAAACAACCGCACGCGCCGAAGTGTGGCGGCATCCCTCCCGCTGGGGACTCTTCACTGGCAGCTTCTTCGGCTGTGCGCGGAGACGCGGAATTGAATCCGGGTCCTTTTTTGCGGGTCGGCCCGTGGAATGCTGGCGGTCTCAAGCGTGAGAAGCGGACCCCTCTGGAGAAGTGGTTGAAGGAGGGGCATGTTGCGGTGCCTGTTCTCTTTGAGAAGTATTTTGCGGTGGACGTGTGCAGGTGCTCTTTTTTTTAAAAATTTTGGCATTTTGGTTGGCGCCAACGCCTCTACGGCGGCGCCTCCGCACTTCTCCAGGCGGGGATCGGCGCCCTCACCGGCCCTCGGAAGGCAGAGCGCCCGCCGTTCTGGACGCCGAAACTGACCGCCTTGGAGCGGCGACGAACGCATCTCTGCAATGTCGCATTTGCTCGCTGAATGGAGCAGTGCTCCCGACCGGTGCCGGCGGAGGCGGCAAGCTGCAGCCTCACCAGTACACCCTACGCCCCGCTCCCCGCCGGTTCGCCGGTTGCGGCGGCGGATGGCCAACCGACCGCCACGAAGGAGCGCGCCGACGCCTTGGCGCGAGTGTGCGCCGCCACGTCTGATTTCTCTTTGGGGAGCTTGACGCTGCATCGCGGGAGATGCGTCTCCGGAGCGCGCCGGGGCCTGGCGCGCTTCACTGCGAGGCCCTGCAGCAACTGCCCCTCACTGCCTGCAAGGAACTCGCGGCCGCGTTCAACGGGAGCATCGGCGACGGTGGCGCTCCGGCTTCCCGGAAAGGAGGGCATTGCAATTGTCCCACCCTTCAAGCCTGGGAAGCCGGGCAAATGCTTCCCGCCTCGCTTCGGCCCGTTGCCCTCACCAGCTGCCCGCGTAAGCTCGCGGAAAGAATTGCGGCGCGACGCATTCGCGGCACTCTTGAAGCCCAACTTCTTCCTCAGCAAGCTGGGTTTCGCCCTGATCGCTCCACACTGGATCCGCCGACTCGCCTGCTTGCTCAGACATTTCACTGTGGCAAGCGGGGAAGGTCGGTGCGGTGCTGGTGGGTCACGCTAGGGCCTTCGACTCGGTTCATCGCAGCCGCATCCTTCACGCACTCCGCGCGCACAAGGTGGTGTCGTGCCTGAGCCGGTGGGAGGCGGACTTCCTTTCCCTGCCGCGCGGCCAAAAGCCCCGTGTAAAAAATACACTCATCACACCGGTTCATTTCACCCGCGGCTCCCGCAGGGTTAAGTGCTCGGCCCGCCGCCGCCCACCGTTGCCGCGAACAGCCTCGGTGAGGAACCGGTGTGCATCCCCAACCTTGAACTCGCTTTCTTCACTGATGACCTGACCGCTACCACTCGCACCACCGAGAGAGGGAGAGGCGCCATGGAGTGCACGTTGCGGCAGGCGTTGGATAGCGCCTCAAGATGGGCAGAGCAGAAGCAAACATGGAGCCCAGCGCCGCGAAGACGAAGCGCGCGCTGTTTTGGCACCGCCCTCACGGACAGCAGGGAACTGCACGCGGGAGGGGCCCGCTTGGTGGAGGATCGCCTCCCGCGATTCTTGGGGCGGTTTTGATCCAGCCATTGCGCGGGGTCGGCCGGCAGGCGCGGGAATCCTTCGCCGTCGCAAAAACAAGACTTATGGAGGTCGAGGCGGTGTCAGCGAGAACATGGGAGCCAAAAATGTAAAATACCGCGTCCGCTGCCCAAGACCCTCGCTGGTGGGTCCCCCAACTCCCTCTACGGGCAGTGGCGCGCCGCAACACGGCTTCGCTGTCGGCGCTGGAGCGCCTGGAGAAGTTGCACACCCGCGCCGCCGGCGTCATCGCTGGCGTTGCCGTCGGGGCCTCTTGGGCGGCTGCTGAAGAGGAGGCTCGCCTTCTCTCGCGGGAGGGCGCTGCGTCGATGCGGGGTACCCAGTGCTATCTGCAGTCGTGCGTGCGCGGCGGCGAGTTACAGCAACACGCCGAGGCCCTTTTCCCGCCTTCCAACCCGACACACTCAGCCCTTCGCCTGATAGCGGGGTTAAGTTGCACGAGCGTGGGTAATTTTGGCGCGCCCCATTGCCGCGGAGCCCCTCGATGCCGCCAACGCGCGTATGTACCTTGGCACGTCGCCGCCGGGTGGATTGGGCGCCGATGCTGATCCGGAGGAGATATACAAGGGATGCACGCTGCGGGTGGAGTCGAAGGCGCATGCCCCCATGACGCTCAATGGGCGGGCTGCTCGCTAGAGCTCGGAGTGCGGGTCTGGCCGCGCCGCCCGCTTATTTTAGCGCCAGGCACACGCGCCCGTGCAGTGTGAAGTGAGGCGGCGGCTTGCTGGCGTGCGGCTGCCGAGCGGAGTGCCAGGCATCGAACTGAGCCCCGCTGAGCTCCTGCTATGCGTTCTGAAAACGTCCGGCAGGCGAGTGGCGGGCGTATTTACTGCCTCACCGTCCCTCCAGAGCGCGCTTGAAACGGGCCCGACCCGAGTCACGGACGGGGTGCTCCGCCGCATTTGGAGCGTCATTGCCGGCCCGCTCCGTCGTGGCGCGTGCGCCTGCGGTTTAACTTTATTTTTTGGCCGCGCCGGCGCCCCTCACACACACAACGAGGCGGCTGGCAAACCTGCGAAGGCAGCGCTGGGGGAAGTTCAGGACGCACCCGCGCGGATGGCGGACATCTGCACCGCCACCCGCCGCCGCCGCGCACAGAAAACTGAGGGGGCCGCCATTATCCCCGCAGGACCCGAAAGCCAGCGCCGGCGCCTCGTCGTGGATGGCGCGAGTCCGCAAACAGCCCCGCTGACGCGTGCAGGGGAGTTGATTCTGGCGCGGTGTTGCGCGGGCGCCTCGCCTCACTTGGGTCGGCCG